CACACACAAACACACACACACACACACACAGACGCACGCGCGCGCACGCACACACCCTCATACACGCTTGCGCAAACACACACACACACACACAAGCACACACACGCATCATCGGTCGAGAAACATAGTACATTTTTTTAGTCTTCCTCTTTATTGGAAATACAACCACCACATGTTTTACCATCTACTGAAGTTTTAGAATCCTATCGACAGGATCATTTTTCTCCGCAAAGTTATATACCCTGCTCCGAAAATAGCAAATTATGCTAACCAAATCATCCCTGGAAAAAAGATACTGGTTTGTCCGGTCATTCAATATAATGGAAACAGTTGTTTGAACAAGATCTTTACACTTATAAAACAGACACAATTTCAGTGTCAGGCAACAAAATAATATGTACGCATAATATCTAATAAAGTCAAATAATTTCAACACTTGCAAGCTTGGAAAAGTAAATGTTTTAATTTAGAGCAGTGCTTGTACAAGAATTGTTAGTTAATGTTATAGCCGGCGCTCACGTTTGCCTCCTAAAATTTCGAAATGTCCACCTGCATGCATTTCCAAGCGGGTCATTAAATTTAAAAGGAAAAAAAATAATAACACCTTTCACCACCCGGGTGATCCTCACCGCCCATCAAAATTACCAAATAGATCAATATTAGTGAGTGCGTGACATTACCCAGGTTGGTAAGCGCGGTTTTTTAAAAGATTGTGCTCTATTATAGTTCAGTCAGGCTGCTCCAGTTTTTAAATCATAATCAATTTGTTTTTGTTTTGTTTTGTTTTTTAATATAAACCTGACTAATAACAAGCTGTCGAGACTCGATTATATTCGTTGTGTCATATTTGATTGCCTGCATGGCGTCTGGGGTGGTCTGTTCTTTCGTTCCTTTCAAACAGATATATTCATTTTCTCTTATCTTTCTTTTCTAGCAACACCTCTATCACTTATATGATTACCTAATTGTGTTGCAAGTGCCATGAAACCTTTATTAAGATTAAAACAAGGAAACTCGTTGTTTCTCTAAAGATTTGCCATATAAGTCGCTGTCACAAAGGCAACATAGTGGTATGGTATGAATTAAACGCCCCTTTTTTTTAAAAAGTGTTTAAAGTAGAGGCAGGAACTCCAAACGTATTAACGCCCATCTCCGATAGAACCTGGCAAAAATGGGAAGAGAGTTTTGAACACTCCCCAAACAATGCAAGTTGGAGAACAGTCGTAAATATAGAGATCAAAACGGGAGGTGGAGGACCCCACTGATAAGTCTTATCTCTTTCTTTCCCATCGCTGTTTCTGTCCATCTGCCTTGCTTCTCCCCTCTCAATATTATGACCGTTATTGTGTCGCAATGCGTCTTTGTACTCCATCTAAACGGAGATCCAAACCAAAGTCTTTCCAACCATCGTCTTGTTTGTTTATAAACTATAAGTCACAGGTGCGTCGTCGAATCTGCTTTTGTTTTTCTTTGTGGGGTTGTTCTGAACGTAATACCCTCACACACACACACACACACACAC